CAGTCTCAGTTCGCGATTCTAAAAAATGTCTTGGCAGTCAATCAGGTCAGTTCACTACCTCCAGACTGACAGTTTGAACCGCAAAGATGAACTGACAACTGACTGATTGACTGATAGCAACTCTGGATAACATGCTCAGGACCATGTCTTGCCCACTTCATCACGAGTTGAGACGCAATGTCGTGCATCTCGTTGAACATGTTGCGAATCGCCAGCGGCCCTAGTTGTGGAAGCAAGACACGGTGTGCAATACCCCAATTCTCCTCTTGTGGTCCGTACGATGTGAACAGGCCATCGTGAACACCATTCCGGACTTGTTCAAGCGATGCTGCTATGATCTTTGAGAACCGTTCCTCATCGCAGATCTCGTTAAGATGAGCTTGGTTCGCGATGACGACACGGTCGCCGCCGAGATAGAATTTCCATATAGGGCCTGCACTCGTTAGCCGTCTGCTTTTGCCATGCGTGTCGGGGGGCCAATTGACCATATTTCAATGTCAAATTGCACATGGACTGTGTGGGGTTTGTTGCGTCGATGTCTCCAATGTTGCCAACAATGGGCAGGCCAGGTGGGCCGGGTATGGGCTCAAGATTCGCCATTGTGATGTAAATTACAGCAGTAGAAAGGAACTAGGAACGAAAAAAGACCACGGTATATGAATTCTCGTGGATCGCTGAAGACGTATGTGTTGTTGGGATGTCGGGAGAGCTCGTTCTATCTATAGTGAATCAGAACAATTAAGTCATGCCACGTCGTTCGCATAATGACGCACTGAAACAGAGCAAATCCTTTCGCGCGCCCCGAATGCTACCTCCTTGACGCGTTGGGACCACTTTGGTGCTTGGAGAGAAAGATGCCTCGGTCGTTGTCGTGAAATTCAAGCACGGTGATTTGTTGTTGCCGTTTCGGGTAGTCGCCGTGTCGGAGCTTTTCACGTCGGTGCACGGAGGAACTATGAGGTCGGCCGAGCTTGAGGCTGGAAGCACATGCAAAGCCACTGAATACACGAGATGGAATTGGAAGCCGAGGACGAATGCAATCGCAAAAGTTGATGATGGTGCTTAAGAAGGTGCAGCGTGTCAGAAACAATGTTATGCAACGCATGCGTAGTGCGACTTAGCATTGGGTCTATCTCGATTGGTTGCAGTACCGAAGCGGTGGGATGATGTGTGTGAACCAAACGCTGGCAACTTTGGCGATCGGCTGCCTCTTGGAAGTGCAGCCACGAGGTTTTAACGTTATGGTCTTCGAAAGTCTCATCTACGAGGGTGACGCGATATCATTTCATAGTCCAACGTATGTCATGTGTGTGTGTATCGTACAGGAATGTATCGTGGTCGCGGTTGCTCTCGTGCAATTCTTCGTCGTTGCCGCCTTCTTCTCTCACCTGGGAAAAGTAAACACTACAATACCCCGGTCATCGTCGCCTACTCAGAACGCCCATAACGCGGAGAGATCATGACCATTCGTACATTCCGGGAAGGAAGCAAATGTTGCTTGCGGATGATCGCCCACCGCTCACCAACGCGAGATCAATGACCCTTGCCCTACAAACCTCGGCCTCGAGCGAAGCCACAGGCACGTCTCCATTACCACAGATGATCGCCCGCTATAAGCGCATCCACAACACGGCGAAAGCACCTATTGCCATAAGTGGTATCGACACCGCCCATCTTCCTGCACCCGCTTGCATGTTCACGAAAGGGCTTCCATCGCCGTTGGCCGGAGGATCTGGCTCATCCGACCCCGACCCCGTCGCCGATGAAGGTGGAGATGCGGTCGATGAGGCTCCCGCTGTCGGCGCCGGAGCGGAAGGCTGGGCAGTTTCGCTGCGCAATGACACCGCAGACGTCGGCGACGCACCAGCAACGGTAGACGTGACGATGCTGCCTGTACTGATGCCGGTTGGGTTCACTACTATGGGTACGACTATCTGCAATGTGTTGCCATCACCATCGGTGGTCGTCCGGGTTATAATTGTGCTAACTGGGCTTGTGAAGCCATCGCTGTCATCGTCGTCGCTTTCGCTGGTGGTGGTGGTGGTGGTGGTGGTTGGCTTCGGTGCAGCGGCGGTCGTCGTAGGAGGGGCACGCGTGGTCGATGGCGGCACGTAGCTACTCGAGACGGCATCATATGCATCATCCACCACCTCTGCCGGTATCGTACAGCCTATCGCATCGCAATACAATTCTAGCGGGCCGAGGACGAGTTCGAGGGCCCAGTCGTCTGCATCGCAGTTGGTGACGGCGCACGCGACGGCGCTGGGGAGGTAAGACGCGCTGCTTTCGCTTGTCTGACATATACCTGCACAACCATCAGTTCATGCCGCAGTGGAGCTATAAAGGCACCAACTCACATTTCCTATAGCCGCAACCCGCCTCTGTGTTGCCCAAGCAGTCCTGCCAACATTTGGGCAGGCCTTGCAGCCACCAGTCCCGATGCGCAACGGCACCCAACACGAAAACATGCGCAAATAGTAGCCATTGCCCAGTAGAGGCGAACATGATCGTACAGTTGGTAAAGAGCGACGTGGTAGCGAGCGACAGTCGTGGTGAGGCAAAGGCGATTGCAGCCTTAAGGGGACCAGTCATCCACAACCTGCTGTTCTGCGCCTACCAGCATCACGTCTGTACTCACAGGAGTCGCATGGTGAGTGGCGCCTGCATCCTTTACTGACTACCATCAGCCGGAACCAACCAGTGTGTGGCACTGATCGTCGCCGTCATCGTGTCTATTCGCTTGCGTTTCAGCTTCGGGGAATATGCAGGCGAGTCGGGAGTCCGCTTGTCCGCTTTCTCAGCATAATCACACAAGCACTGTTTGTAAGACGATGCGCAACCATCGACACTTCGGGATTTTAAGTTAACTATACGCAACTGCTGACTCCTTAATAGAGTGACGTCTACTTTGCATGCGGAGTGACCACGGTGAAGTCACCCTAACCTCCGTTCTTTGCGGCGTTCTCAATGGCGGCATGGTGTGCATCGAGGCTGAAGGTGGCGACCTCAGCGCCATTTCTTTTCCCAATCTTTAAGAATCCAGTTGTCACCATATTGATAACCAGTTGTGCTGTAGCTGGTTGGTACATCCACCTTCCCGTCACCTGCAAGTTCTTGTGAACCATAACAAGATGTGGCAGCACAAGATCGCCGCTTGCGCCACCGCTCAAAACGACTCTCCCGTCACCTTTGAGGGCATGCGACGCCGCCGAGAGATACAGTGGTGTGGCGAGCGTCCCAGGTGTCCAATAATTGTAGACGTCGACACCATCTTCAGGAGCGACCCCTTTGATCGCGACGGCATCGCTTTCTACGTTTCCCGTCATCACGTGCTGTAGGCGATCCGGACTCCCAAGAGCGAGTTTCATGTCTTCCAATTTCTGCTTGTTTCTTCCCAACGCGATGACATTCGCACCGAGCGCCAGCGCGATTTCCACAGCAGCGCCACCAAACGAACCGCCCGAAGGTCCAACGACGATGGTCTCACCAGCCTTGATATTTGCTGCCTCGATAAGTGCACCGGCCGCTACCATGTACACAGTGAGGAGAGTGAGATCCGCGGAAGTGTACGTCAACTCGCCCAAGAGACGTTGCTCATTCAGCAAAAAGCAGTTTTCCAACGGCACCTTTTGAAATTGTTGTAGTGATCCATCACGCCATTCATGCATCAGCTTCTGGTGCGCACCCGTATCATCGCCCCCATGATGACCCTGCAAGATTATGACTTTTGGGTCATCTCTTGCGCGAACCGTTGAATCGACGTGCACCAGATCTCCCGGCTTCAGTTTTACAGAATCCGACCCAACGGGCGTGTATGCGGCCAATGGCTCCTGGGTTTGGAACGAAAGGTGGCTTAAGATGAAGGGCAGCGAGCTTGCCACTATGTACGGCATTCGTGAACGGGGTCAGAAACGTTGCTTCAATGCAAACGACCGCTGAGCCTTGAGTCGCAGTGGGTATGGGTAGAGAAACAACTTCCGACGGAGAAGAGAAAGAAGAGAGCCAAACGGCGCGGTTGTTCAAACGTTCTCCCATCTTGCAAGTCGAAATGTGCTTTGAGGTCTACTTACTAGCAGGTGGGCTTCTCGTCTTATACATGGGGATGGCGCATACCCACAGATTGTAGTGACGTCCCACTCTTTTCAGTCTACCCCGACATCTGCAAAACCTCCGCAATGCTTTGCAGTCGTGCACCAAAGCCCTGGGTCACGACGCGCCGCTGTCGCAAGCATTCAAGCGCATTTGATACCGTGCTCTTATTGGAGGCGGTAGCATATATCGAGCGATCATACTCGTGTACGTACTTTGACTGGAGTTAAGTAATCAGCAGCATGAACACTCACTAGCAATGAATGCGCCATCGCCGGTATGTTTTAGTGTAGTTCTACTTGCTGATTGGGTATAATTTGTCCGTTCGACGAAGCTTGTTCGCACATCACAGCACATGATTCGTACAACCGGTTAGGTCAGCTTTAGAGCAAGGCCAAGGGTGATTCTTACGATCTTCGACATGTAACGCATGCCCCGGAAACGCGTCCGAGTAGATGTAGTTAAAAGAACGAATAGAACGGATAAGATTTAGAAAACAAAGAGGCAGAATCAGAGATCTGGTGGTGTCTCGCTCTTCGACGCAGAACTATCGACGCTGTAGGCAATGAGCACAAACGACATGTGTCTCAACCTCGCTCTTCCCCCTGGGCATAACTGAATTCCAATCCATCATGCTCAACCCCCAGCAGTTCCGTACAATTTCCGCATCCATTGCAGCACATATCGTGTGCGCAGGCAAGGAAAGTCTGATTTTCGGCGGTACACTAGACTATCATCTTCTTTGTGAGTTGTATTAATCCTTGAGACCGGCATTATAGCAGGCAGCTGCTGTCGGAACCTTTGTCATCCAACGGGACTAACAGTTGCAACGCCTGCTGCACGATCACGGGGAGCGCCACCTTGGTTACGGTCGACAAAGCAGGGAAATACTGTTCGGGGCCATTGTCGCGTATTGCTCAAAACAACCTATTCAAGTTCCCTCTAGCCTATGATGTCCATTTACTTCATGACACCAACTACGCTCCATACTAGGAACCCTGATGTAGCCCTTATCAGATCCAAGGCGACAATCATTCTCAACTGCAGACCATCTCTGCTATCTGTGAAGGCACTTCTTCGACATCTGCACGACTGCAAGATTATTTACGTTCGAATCTTATCTTGTTGATAGCAAACACGTCCTATAGAGTCTTCTAGGCTCACATTGCAATCTTGGCTTCACATCGTAGGCCTGGTGGGACAATGAACTTCAAATTGGGTCCGCCCCAACGGTCAGTGATGTTGATGTTGTTATTTGATTCTAATCTTCTCGTCTGCGAACGAACGATGTGCGATCCTTGCGTTCACTTTATTGAAGGTGAGAAGTTAAATTAAAGTGATAGTAGCAATGCATGAGATGTTTCCGTATACTATACTTAGGTTGAAGCTAACTATAACGTCTGTTGACCTCTAACTTAATTCGATAAAGAGACAGCGGTGGAGATTAAGAAGCGTGATTGCACAGCTACACTGCGTAGCTCATGATGCATATAAAGCTCGCCAGACGGGAATCGGTTGCTCATAATCGTCAGTCTTAGTATTCTTTATTCATTTGCACCTTCCGCAGACCCCTTGACCCAATGTCACGATCGTGGGCAAACACGAGCTCCAACTCATTGTCTCCATTCGCACGTATGCCAGCCCCTTTGTTAAAAGTACTAAGATTGTCGATGCCCACAGAAACGTTTCCCAGATGATTAGGTCGTTTTGACTGTAGAGCGAGAGCCACAAGCTCAATCGAAGAATTCTAGGCTGTAGAGCTATAGCCTGTGAATAGTATATAGGCGAGGTGAAGGACAGTGATGACGCAGTAGAAGCCCAGAACAGCCATCGAGAGGCGAATAGATGTGGAATGATTCCCATAGCCGAAACCGTACCAGGTATAGATGAAGCGAAAACTAGACATACTGCTCACACGCGTACTCAACGCGTCTTCGTCCCAGCGCAAGTCGTAAGACAATCTTGGGATATCTGAGATGGCATCTGCCAACGGCACGGCGAGTGCACCGCTCAGTTCACCGCTCAGTTCGAGGTCTCTAGGTGTCAACTCGTTTAGAAGTTTCGGGTCCCTTAGCTCGCTGATATCATCATAATTCAGAACTATGGGTTTTAGCGCCCTAGTAGTCCACGGAGGCATAGGGTACGGATTTCTGTATGCAATACCTTGTTCTCCGAAGTAGATTGCCTCAGAGTTGTTCCATGAAGCATTAATGGTGCAAGTCGATATTTCCCAATAGTTATATCCCTACAAGCTTTGTACTGACGATGCCATCTCAGACAGCTTTATCGGTTCAGTTCTGATTGTCTCGTTAGGCCTGAGATCAAATGACTTGAAGAAGTGTTGGAAGAATATGCCAATCCATGCTTGAGATCTTAACTCGGGCGCAGCTATCCATACAGGCTCAAAAGAGTGGATAGTCCAATTCTGATCACTGACGGACATTTCGCCAGTATCATTTAGCTTCTGGATCAACGTGCCAAGTGTCGATATTGTAGCAGTTCTAAGCGTAATATCTTGAATGTATTTTACTTCGGTGTCCGATTCGAACGATCCCTCAGAAATCAAGTTGCACATGACCTGAACAACGGGCTGTGGAGCGTACACCGAGAGCGTGTAGTTACCGTCCATAATGTAGCTCAAATCGGTGTTAGCAAGGTGGTAGAACTGGTGCCGTATAAAACCAGTCGGTGCAGTCGCGTTACTGATTTGTACTTCTGCGTCTAACTTAGTTTCATTATATCGTAATCTTACAGGCCGTAGAGTCTGGGATATGAGGTCTTCTGGCCATGCTCCCCCGTACTCGGAGACTATTTCAACTACGGTTCCGTTATCAACGGTAGTCCATTTGCGCGGGTCATAGTGGATCATCGAAGGGTTGACGATACTCCAATCACTGCCTTGTGGTCAGTGAGTGTATGTAGAAAGGGCTAGAACTAACAATTGGAGACCATTCGCTCTACCTATAGTAGAGGGGAACAGTTGCTCATACGAAGCATTTGTGTACAAGGTGAAAACTCCGGCATCGCGAGCACTACCCGAGCGAGGAATCATAAGGACTGCGCTCGAAGGTCCGATCAGAGCGGTACTGATGAGTAAGGTTGGTATCGCTATAGCAAATAAGACTCTGCGCCAACCGTAGAGAGCTGGAGACACAAAAAGAGAAATAAAGTCTAGAGACCAGATAAACGATAGCTGCGTTGCCTGCGCAATGCCGGATAATGCTCCTAGAGGTACAAAATTGCGCAAGGCCTCAGTGCGCATGATGCAAACTGTAACTTCTACAATCGAGACTTGCATAAGCAATTCGTGAAACTTAGCGACAAATTTTAGGACAGTTGAATTAGCTGGCAAAGTGAAGCTGGGAAAGAAGCTCGACCATTGTAGGTAGAGAAGCGCCATAGCTCCACCGACCGGGATGAGATGCAGCAGCACGTGTAGTATCGCCAATCTTCGGCTGTGGTATATTGCGAACCTGCGACGCTCTGCGGAGTGTCTTAGAGAAGAGGGCCGGCCGATCCTGATGAGGAGTCTTTGTAACCGTAGCTGACGCATCCAGTCTCTTACCTTCAAGCCGCGCTGTCTGGGAGGCGTTGCTCCTTCGTCTTCTAGATTGTCCAAGAGTGCAGTGTTCATATCTTGCCGCCTACAAAGGTCAGTATCCGCTCAAAGATTTAGTTGGGCACACGTACGGTAGTTCTATCATCTCTTCTTCAGGCTCAGCCTTGCGACTCATGGCTGAAGGTGGGTTCGGTGGCTCGAAGCTTAAGCAAAGAGAGATCAGAAAGCTGATTATTTATCTGAACTTGCGAAAGCGCCTAAGCCGGGTAGCGAGATGTATTGAGGGATTAAGTGAGGTTGAAGATCTTTTGAGATGCGTTTTTGTACGGCAGCCAAGCGTTACACTACACCAACCGACTAAGCTGAAACGGGCTCGCATTGGGGGCCAACGCCACGAACAGGAATGCGGTAGGAGAGGTGAGCATTACGAGATGATAGGCTCGGCTAATGGTGTCGAGGAGCCCCACACACCAAATCAATCGATCTGACTGCAGTCCTTCACACAGCATGCTTTGTCATCGAACGCAAAGTACCCATTGCCCCCGCTTCCTTATCCGGGATCTCATCATTCCCGAATATATAACAGTAACGGCCCGAAACCAAAGCCTCGTTTGTCGCAACCAGCAGAGCATTTGATGATATGATGTTTGTATCGAGACTCGGTAGAGGGTCTTAGGTAGCGTTATTTGTAGAATATAGTATGCACGATGGTTAACGTTCGAGTATGACATCTATTCCCTAAGGGAGGCATATGTCAAGTGTAGTCGTCGCTTTAAAAGATAGAAATATCAATGAAAACTATCGAGGAATAGATTTCTCACAAAAGGATATAGTCGATGTGGTAATGAATAATGTATAGCTATGATAGTCTTGTGATATACCACGCCGTCGAAGCGAATGAACAGTGGCAGTACGGGCAGCAACCAGCGTTGTATACAGATGCAGTCTATACTTCATTAGTCATCGAGTTAGTGTCCAAATAAGAAGCCGGTCGCTCGGCTACCCTTGGAGATGCTGAGTTTCAATGATAAAGCCGTTTCCCTATTACGTGCTTGTTGATCGCACTGTAGCTTTACCGACGCATATTTGACCGGTGAGGTGCTGTTACCCATAAGAGCACACAAATACTGTTGCCGAGGCCTCAAATTTCGTCTTGCCGCACCAAGATTGGCCAATCGTCGAAAGTCATGGCTTGCCGCGGCCTCAAACAGCTCCTCCGTTGCATCGGCTAACAAGACCCACGGCGGTTTCTTTTCAGGGAAGCCACATACTACTACAAACTCGCCTGGGTAGTTGACTAGCCCCACAACGTGGAATCGAAGAAATGCGGTCAAGTTTCGCAAGTCGCGTGTGAGAAAGCAGTTATTCTGAGCATCCCAAAGGTCTTTGGGCTCGACTTCAATCAGCTTGGGTACGACATGGTGTCCGGACTGGACGCCTGTGGTTCCGAAATAGATTGCACCGAGATTGCTGCCATTTTCATTCGGATGCTTCGCATGGACTGCAGTGTTTGCCGCTCTTCGCACACGTTTGGATATAAAGATTGTATTGCTGCTTGAGACGGGCGTCGAATCGGTCAGTAGCGCGAACGACTGGGGCCTTGTTCGGACATACACGCTTGCGCCTTCGTGCTTGAGAAACACCCCAGTTTGCGGCACAATCTCACCCATGGGTTTTTCAGTATAGCAGTGTAGTGGCATTATAACCTCTCCCGGAAACCTGTCTCCAGCAAGCTTTAAGAATGTATTTATGCGCAGTCCCTTGTTAGACATGGCAAAGTCAGGGTTGAATTTGATGTCCTGTTCGAGTTGAAGATTACTCAGCCCAACAAGCTCATCCGGACTGCGGGCGAGAATACCACGGTGCGTTGAAGAATCCTTTGCTCGCCATGCGAACAGGCTGAGATCATTCCTGTCGCGTATAATTTCCTCTTGGAGTCGAATAAATGCTTGTTCTCCACCCTCGCCGTAGAGCATTAGCATGTTGACCTGAAACAGACCAATCAGACAGTATGCCATATCCTCAGGCCTGGTCGTTTGACGAGATGCTGCCCATGACATGCGACGGCCGACGGGAATAGCATCAAGCAGGTCACGAGTACTCATGGCATCCGGGCCCTCAGGTGGGGTGAAAACCTCTACATCAATGTTCGTGATATATGCAAGTATGTCGCGTAGAGATTCTCGCGTACCGAATTGGCACCACGCACGATCGTAGAAATTCGCGGCTCGCGCAGCGATAATCTCCTGCATTGTCCATCCACGTGAGAACCAGCGGTCGCGACGCAGCATAGCATCACGATCGCTACCAGTGGTTTTCGCATCGAAATCGGCGAGGTAAACGAGACAAAGTTCGGCATTGTTGGTCTTGTCGATGCAGCATCAGCACCCCAGCAGAGCTATCGGAAGCGATGCGAATAAAGTACGGTTTTATTCCTTGGGTCTTTGTTGAATCATAATAGGCTGGGCGCCGCGGCGTATGGTACGTCATCTTGGCCCATTAGGCTCCCATCCCCTCATCCGTGAGGTTTGACCCCGCATCGTTGCAACCTGGATCGCGACTCATACATCCGTTCCGCAAGATTCCCTGGGCAAAGTTGACAAAGTGATCTCTTCATCGGACAACATTCATATAATTCATTTGGAATTTTTAATTCAGTTCAAGATACTATCCGGCTATTAGCAAAGACAATCAACCATGCAATACGAATCAAGATCTACGAACAGTAAGAGTATACATATGTGCTCTGGTCCTACCGGTCCCCGGGAAGAATTATATCCAAGTGTTCGAACGATCACGCGAAGTCATCATTTACCACCTTTAGATGATGGACAAATCCGTATATTGGCTGTCACTGTTCAAGATGATAATGTCGAAAATATGGTGCTCAGCCTTATACCTGCACGACTCTCAGGTGATCGAGATCGTCCTTTTACGAATATCATGATGGAATACACAGCAATTTCCTACGCTTGGGATCCAGGATTCAACGTTGAGGATAATCTGCAAGTACCGTGCACGAGTCCAGCCACAAATCAACACTGCCTAAGTTTCAATCCTGACGGGAACGGAGATACGATGTTAATTCCATACTCACAATTCTGGATGCTCGTTGATATCTTGCAAGTTGTCAGGCAAGGAGCAGGGTGCAACGAGAAAGATCATGTATGGACCAGGTTCTTCTGGATTGATCAGATTTGCATCAATCAGTCCGACGATGCAGAGAAGTCAGCACAAGTGCGAATGATGCATGACATATACTACTGCGCAAAAGAGACTCTAATATATCTTGGCGAAGAGGACGAAGATACTCAGTCAGCTTTTGATCTTGGTAGAATTTTTGCCTCAGTCAAGGATGAGAATATAGACAGATTTTTGCAGGTTTCGCAGGACGGCAGGTACAATCAGCGAAAAGTAAACTGGCCTTTACTGCTACCTCATCTTCCCGTTGACGTAGCGATGAATGCAGGGGACGCCTTTGGTCTACATCTATTGATGTGTAGATGGTTTGATCGGACATGGATAGTACAAGAGATCGTAGCTTCCACGGAAGCTCGATTAGTCTGTGGGAATCAGACCATGCTCTGGACTGACCTTGCGAACGCATGTGAATTCCTCACGGCTTATGGAGACTGGTCACGCTACCTAGGGCTAGAACGTTGTCGCCAAACGGTCGATATGGAATGCGCAAGAAAATCCTATCTCTTCTGGCGCTTGTTCATCACCATGGAAATCCAGGAAGTAGAACTCGGAGAATTTGCGGACAACATTCTGCAAGCAGCAGGTGAATCCGCTAGGAGTAGGACGTTTGGTCGACTATTCATGCTGTTCACTATGCGAGGGGTGACAGACCCACGAGATACGATCTTTGCTATGTTCAACATCCTCTCGGAAATTCAAGGCTGTACTACTTGTGATCTTATCGACTATAGCTTGTCACCACGAAAGGTCTACCTGAACGCAACGCAACTCTGGGCGAGGAGCAGTCAACTATCAAGAGTTTCCAACGAACTATCAAAAGAAACAGCGTTAGGGCGGAGTGCGACAGAGATCTCATTTCTTGATTTTGTCGTAGACTTCAAGTTCAACGAGAAGCTGAATCTTCCGTCTTGGGTGCCTAGTTGGCGAGGAACATCGGGTGCTTTCTATGAGAATCCCAATTTCTGTGCTGCCACTAGAGCCAAGCCATACCTCAATCCACCAGATCCATTTCTGTTTGATGACGACGAGATACCGCTACTTGTTAGAGGCATCAAGCTATTCACAGTATCGATGCTGAGTCCAGTCATGGCCGATGGTGAAATTTCAATATTGGAACACCGAAAAATGCTCAGTCAATTTGTGGATCCATATCCAACAACGGAGGAAACATTCGCAGAGGTTTACGAGAGCACTCTAGACTTAGACGCATCACAATCAATCTGTGTAGGCAACAGACCCTGCAAATTCTGGGACGTTGTCTGCAAACAGCCGGCGGCCCTTCCACAAAACGCAACCAAGGATATGACGGGGTCATGCGTGGGGCCATTCCAGGAGTCCTGGCCTATTGCCTTGCGGCCAGGGCTTTTTGATTCAAAAACCTTCAAAAGCTTCACGAAAAAGCGAAATCTTTTCATTTCACAAGACGGCTTTCTTGGTCTAGGTCCCCCTCAGCTAAAAATGGGGGATATTGTCTGTTTGCTGTTTGGAGGCGCAATGCCGTACGTTCTAAGAAAGTTAGAATCTGAGAGATATGAATTCCTCGGATATTGTCTTGTATATGGTATCATGTCAGGTGAAGCACTGGAAAGTATGCCCGAGGATAGGATCGAGAACTTCATTATGGTTTAGCTTAGTTAGAGCAAGGCTAAGGAACTATCCTACCATGTATGCTTAGCTGCATTCTGTAGCCAGGCGCTTACCGATATATCTGGCCTACTTTTGGGTCAGTCAGGGCATATGTGACTTAGGGTTGTACTCACCTAAAGGGTTGAGTAGGGAAGCAATGTTACGACATGAGAAGGTTCTTTTGGAACTTCATTGCCCATCTTTTGTGGCGGCAACCACCTCCACTTTCGTACGGCATGTCATCTGGTCGACATTCCTGATGCAGCACGAATCGATCCAGACGTAATCAAACCCGCATCGCTGGGCCTCGCGCCATGTGCGCTCGATCGTTGTGCAGTCCTTGGCCGTGGTGCGCGTGGCGAGGTCGTTGAAGGCTTGGAAGTTGACCTCTTCGCTATTCTAGGTGTGGGAAAGAATGGCAAAGCGGTCTGGGGGCGTCTGATGAACTCTTGCAACCGCAACGAGTCGCTGCTACAGTCGATTGATATCTTATACAGGTAAGGTCAGTGTCGCATTGCTAGGAATCTCGGAAGTGTAAACTGTCGACGGAGCCCGTTACCCACAAGGCTGCGCACTACATGTCAGCATCATGTTGGTGTGCGGCGTAGTCATCGGCAACGTCTCACAGCAGGCGAGGTGGCACAGAGCTGTATCATAGAACACCACTCCTAGGTAATTTGTTCCGCTTACTCCAGTGACATAGGCTTGATTCAAGGTCGTTCATGGAACGAATATCGCACGAGGAGCCATGTCGTTAAGGACTGAGGGAACTCGTTTCTTCTAAACGCTATGGCTACACCCAATCTGTACTAGATCGAACCTGACAGCAGCCAGGAAGTCGTGTCTCCCAGAACACATACTCATGCGCTCTGAACGATGATTCGTAATGTCCAGATGCAGGTGCGACATGTACACAGCGACCTTCCATGTAGCTGTCACATCCGCCCAATCTATAGAAGTCCCTTAATCATTTCTACAACTTCGGAAACCTCACCCTCAAAAACTGATTCGGCCACGCAACATCCAAACCCAACTGCCACGCAACCCTCAACACCCACTCGGGCTCGCGCATAAACTGCCTGGCAACCAATACAACATCCGCCAACGGCTCCTTACCCTCAGTAACCTTGACCGCAGCCCTAGCCTCCTTTGCAAGTTCCGTGTCGCTGATTTGGGAGGCCGCCGCATCAGCCGCTCCACCTTCTTCGACGATATCTCTCGCCTGTTCCGCTTCAGTAATGAGGCCCACGGCACCGATGAAGAGACCAAGGTTCTCCTTCTTCAGTTCTGCGCGTATCTGCGCGGCGATTTTAATCTGGTAGTCCTTTGAATCAAACATGTTGATTCTCTGCTCCGGGTGGTTCCCCCCACTGCTCACATCGAGGAGATCCACACCTAGGCCTGGCAACAATTTGGCGAGGCGGATTGAGCTTTCGACGTCCCAGGAACCGAGCTTCTTGCCCTTTTCTGTTTCTTCCATCCAGTCGGTAGAGCTGATGCGGAGGTACACGGGCATACTGTCCGGAACGACGGCACGAATCGCTTTGATGATTTCGACGAGGATGCGTGTGCGGTTCTCAAAGGAACCACCGTACTTGTCCGTTCGTTGGTTCGTGACGGGCGAGAGGAATTGGTGGATTAGGTAGCCATGCGCACCGTGTATCTCAATCACATCGATGCCGGCTTTGACTGCTCTTTGCGCTGCGGCGGCCCAGTCTTGGACCAATCCGCCAATTTCCTCTTCGCTCAGGGCTCGAGGCGCCCAATATCCGCTGCTCTCGTCGTCTGCTGCCTTCTCGTCCCATGCCCATTCTTGGCCGCCCATGGGACCAACGACGTTGGATGGCCAGCCACCTGCATCGACGTCGGCTTTTACGCTGACTTTCCTTGTCCCACCAGCTGTTTTCTGCGCACCAGCAATCCAGGGTGCGCACGTACTGGCTTTCCTTCCTGCGTGAGCTAGTTGGATGCCACTCTGGGCTCCTTGGCTTTTGATAAAGTCCGACACTCTTCGCAGTGCGGGGATCTGGGAGTCGCTCCATAGACCGGGGCAGTTTGGCGATATACGACCGTTGGCTTGCACACCGGTTGCTTCTATGAAGACTAAGCCCGCGCCTTTGAGGGCGTAGTGGCCGAGCGTTGCGATGTGGTAATCGGTCAACGCGCCTGTGGTCGGCCCCTCAGATGCGGTGCTGTACTGGCACATGGGTGCTACTAAGATACGGTTGCGCAGCGTGGTGCCGCGGATCGTGAGGGGTGTGAACAGTGTCGGCGTTGATCCATTTTGCTGGGCATTGGGAGCTGGTGTTCCTGGACTGGTGATGTGTTTTGGAGTAAAGTAGGGCAGGCCTGGGACGCCGTTGTTGTAGTCTTGTGGTGCCATGTTGGGTGTTGAGCCTTAGGAATCGGTCCGACGATTGATGTGCAAAGGTCTATGGTAGAAATAGAAGGCAATGCTAGAGGA